AGTATGAACGGTTGAGTGAATGTTGGGAAGAAAAATTAATTTCGAAATTGATTTAAAGAAAAGGAAAAAAAAAAACAGTATGGACACCGGAAAAATGACATGAATAAAAAAATATGATGAGCGACGTATTCGTACTCGTCGCTGACTATACATATTAAGGACGTAAACGATGCTTGTAATTATTGCACGATTGACATTAGTATAATTAAGCGATTAAGAGAAGAGAAGTGAGACGTCGACTTTACTATTACGCATCTCAATTTACGATTTTGCCATCCTTTTGACAAGAACATATTTAGATATATATCTTTGTTAGGTTCTTTCGTAGATGGGAAAGAAGGAATTATCACTCTTGGTGTTATTCGTTTCTACGCGATCCGTAATAAAACTGCTCTACTTTTTCGTTTCCACGTATCTCCTTCACGAATTGCAATAAATCTCTCTTTGATCGTCTATATCGATCTCTCTCCTGATGATTCTTCACCATTTATAATTATGCAATTGATTATATTTATGTATATTTAACAAGTAAGAAAACAAAGAAAAAAAAATATATATATATATATATATAAATTTACCGCCCTGGAGATGAGGCAAATGAAGTTATTTGGTATTTGACCAAACTTCCTCGAATTGATATCGTGTATATTTCGAATATGAGTCTGCCATTTTTTCACCGATCCGATGCAATCTGTCGGTCGAACATGTTAGTGATAATTATTTTAAGATAACCTCTTAGCGATTAAATAAAAGAAGTGATGAAACCTTAGGACAATAAGACGCGTGAAAGAGGCAGGAAATAAGTTCTTTCGTTTAGTCAAATCGTGAGATGTAAAATTATTGGGCATGAAATATTTGCGAGAACTTAGTTTGACGATTACTTCGTAGCGTGTTATCACGAAGTTGGTAACACTTGGAAGTTAATGACCAATAAATATGATGATTATTTAAAAATGGAAAATAGAGAGCTGTTGCGATCTTTTTCTTCTATGCGAAGCAGAAATTACATTACGAGAAATTAATGCGAGAAGTTTGAACAAATCAACTGGTTACTTTCGTCATTCTGGTCAATCATTATTCTCGTATGCTTCTAATTTCTATTTTTGATAATTAATGTTCAAGCGGAGAGGGCGAGCAACAATAGTGTTCCGTTCGCGCTTTTTGTTTGTAATTCTATCTGATGCGCATGCGCAACAGTTGACGCCATCTATATAATAGCAAGTAAATGACTGTGAGTGACGTAGTGCAAACGTTTGCAAAGTTGGGGGTGGATCGTAGCGTGCGTGCAGAATTTATATCTTCTTTTTTTTCAACATTTCTGACCGAAAAGACTTTTGATTTTTATTCAGTTGAGTAATACCTCGTGTCTATTACCCGAACTATAAGAAAATTTCATTGAAATGTCGATTGGAGTACCGATAAAAGTACTCCACGAAGCGGAGGGACATACCATAACCTGTGAAACAAACACTGGCGAGGTATATCGCGGCAAATTGATAGAAGCCGAAGATAATATGAACTGTCAAATGCAGAATATCACTGTAACGTACAGGGACGGCCGAGAAGCGCAATTAGAAAACGTTTATATCAGAGGTTCAAAAATTAGATTCCTTATATTACCGGACATGTTGAAAAATGCGCCAATGTTTAAGAGACCGGGCGGGAAAGGCTCAGGAACTGCCGGCAGAGGGAAATCTGCGATTTTACGTGCACAAGGTTTACTCATAAGATATTTCATTACTCAAGCTCTTGAATATATATATAAAGTCTTTGTTTGAAGCAATAAAGTTTACCTTATGTTTTGTTAACAGATTCATAGATGTTTATGCACACATCAAAAATCTAGAAATGCACAAACATTATATAATGCGCGCGATGAATTTTCATGTAAAATGAAGAGAAGCGAACAAATTTATATTTAGATTTAAGTTTTTTAATTATGAGAACTTGCATAAACATCTCCAATGTATTCATTAATGTACAACATTTTGCGAGATGTACAGCTTTTCATGAAGATATTTGAACACACAGTGAATACCTTCTTGAAGATATTTATACTTTCATGGTATTTAAATAGTGCCAGTAAAAGTATCAGAATGTTTTATGTAACAAAGTTTTCTATAAAGCAATTGTTCCAATACTTTCATGATCCACTGTACAAGTTTGATCATTTTATCTGTTTATTCATTTAAGTGAATTTGTTTTAGCTCGTGGAAGAGGTAGAGGACAGAACCAAAGAGGTAGAGGCACAGGCTCTGCACCTTGGTTGAATCAACAGAATCAACCAGGAGGATCCCAGACAGGAAGAGGACGAGGTTAAAATGTACAACAGAAAACGTACATTAAGAAGAACATAGATTAAGGAAAAGATGATGGACGTACGACCAATCTTTGTATACACACGTACAAGCGTGCGTGAAAGATATTTCTTTCATTCTGATTAGATACAAAAGTATTAAAGTAAACGAATAAACCATTTTTCCACACGTAACTTCCAAGATATGTTCTCATTGTATTTTTATACATTTCCCACAATAAAAAAAGTTGCAATAATTTATGCAATCTCATGGTCTGTTTAATATTGTACTTTTGACAATTACAAATATTCCAATGAATTTTTTAATTCATGAATGTTTGTTCATCGATATTGGGCATGTTGCTGTGCGTTCGTTTAGTTGGTCCAACAACTTTAGATCGCGCTGCGATCAGTATTTAATGTAGTGCGATGTCAACGTTACGGTTTACCGTGCACCATGCAACGTGGTCAACGTAGACGTCGCCGAGAATTGTGAAAAGAATTAACAATTGAATTATTAAAAGAGACATCAATGATTTTTCTTCATGCCTAAACTCTTCGCCGATTCATAGCTCGTTTTTATGTTGATTGATCGATTGAATTAAATGTTGTAAACAAATCTCTGTGGCGAAGAAAAAACTGTCGTAATTAAAGAAATAAAATAGTAAAACACGTCAATATGGAGAGAAGCACGGGACAAAGATACGAGGATGAAATAACCGAGCAACCAGTGGATTACAGCAAGAAATACAGTGAAAGGAAAACGGAGAACTCTGCACGAACTGATCGATCTTGTAAAAAAGAATTCGGGGAACGTGACTCCAAAGTCGACTTATTTGGAGATTATGCTGAAACTGATCTCGATCAACCGACAGATTACAGCCTACGATACGCTGAGGATGATACTGATGATGATGAAAAACAAAGTCCCGAATATTTTCCTGGAAGCGTGCAGGAAGACACTGTGAAGACTTACTGCACCGAAGGAACTCCATATGAAACGCCTTTTAACTTTTCAACTGCAACTTCTATGTCTGATCTGCGTCTAGAGGATGCAAAGGAGTCTGTAGATCCGCAGAAAAAGCTCAACAAGAAAACCCTTGAGCTTAACCGTAAGGAAGATTTAAATTATGAGCATACAATGCCGATTAATTGTAACAAGGACTGTTCGCTTCTTGTTGAGAAAGAATTGGAAACCTCTAAAGCTTCTGAGTCATGTAAATCTAATTGCCTTTCTAACGAGAAGTTGATTAATTATTATCAAGCACGAACATCTGATGGTTTTTCACGTGCTCCTTCTCTGTCTTCTCTTGGCAATGCAATAGTGCAAAGGAATAATGCTAATGGCATTATTTCTAAAGTACCTTCTACAGATTCCTCTGACAAAGCTGATAATGTGTCAGAAAGAGCAGATCGTACTGTGGTCCGTATTTCTGATGAAAATGATAGCTCTGCAGAAGGCAAAAATAATTCCAGAATTGTAGACAAAGAAGGTATTAACCTATTTAATATTTAATAAGTTTTATAAAGTGTTATAAGTAGATCTGATTCTTTGATTCTTTTTAGGCAAAATGGTTACATTTAGTAGGCAAGACTATTATGCAGAGCAAACCCCTTTAATGTTCTCACGTTGTAGTTCTTTAGGTTCATTGAGTGGATTTGAACAGCATTCCATACATGATGATCGTAGCTCCATTATCAGTGATTTCAGGTAATTTTTAGGAATAACAATAAAATTGACAATCCAATATATTGAAATTTATGTCCAACAGTCGTAGGACTAGCGGCATTGTATCACCAAGTGAATTACCAGATTCACCAACACAAACTATCCCTCCAAGTCCTTGTAATCACAATAATCAATGTGCGGATTTTATAAGCAAAATACCAGAAGAAGCAGTAAGACCACCGGTTCGACATTTATGTATGCAATGTTATTGATCGTTAGTGAAAGACTAATATAAGAATTTTGGTTTAGATAGTATTTCAACAAAGTTCTTAACGTTTTATTAGTCTTCTTATCAGATGTTGCTTTCAGCATATTCAAAGTGTCACGTGCCGCGAACTAGTGTTTTTGAGGACGACATCGCCACGTTTAAAGAGGAGTCAACTCCTATTGAATTTTCCACAGCTACCAGCCTTAGTTCTTTGACTATTGATGATGAGATGAAAATTCCCAAAATGAATATTCCTAAACTTCAAAATGAACTGAAGGAACCACCGAATGAGCTGGATAAAGATGTTAAAGAAAATTCTTCAGAAGAGAAAGTTAACAATGTAGAAATTGAAAAGGATCAGGAGCAAGTAAGTGATGGGGACGAAGATGATGAAGACATGTTAGCCGCGTGCATCAGTATGGGAATACAAAATAATAGGTATCTTAATCTTTTGTAATATTATTCATCAATCATATCCGTTCATTTATTCGCATGTTGTACATATATTTCAAAAGTGGCTGAAAATTGAGGTTTTTTGGAAGCGTATAAAAGAATTATTTATTAAATACAATCTTAATTTTAGTAAAAAAAGTAGACATTCTAACACACTTTTAAAATACATGTATCATTAATACTCAATTAATTAATTTTGTTAGTCGATGACATTGATACTAATATTTCTAAATATATTGTAGATACAGACAATCTTTCAAGTCGTCTAGTGTCCAAAAACCCATACAGTCTGAGTCGTCAAACATCTTGGCACGTTGCCAGAGGACACCAGTTTTAAACAGATTGGAACTTTCAGTTCCTATTGCTGTTCCTACTTCCGTGGATACTCCAGTGAATACATCCAAATCTAACAAGTCTGCAATAGAGGTTGCTGCTGCTCCAGATACCGTGCATGTTTATTGCACAGAAGATACACCAGCTGACATTTCCCCAGTGGGCTCGCAATCGAATCTTTCAGCTCTGTCCATGCCGAGTGTTCAGGAAGACGTAGAAAGAATCGAGGAAGCTAAATCCTCGGCGGGTACAGTCGAATGTCACAGAAACGATTTGTCGGATGAGAGTTCTAATCTCTCTGGTGAAGATGAAAAGATTCTTGACGAATGTATTCAATCGGGAATACCAAAAGTATGTGTAACTGTAAAAAACTGTAAACAAGTTCTTACATTTAAATGATATTAATCATATTATGTTTGTTTCAGGTTAGACAAATAACTCCACCGCCAACTAGTTGCATTCCTTTTGTTCAAAAAACAGAGGTGCTGTCACAAAGATTCAACATATGTGGAACTCCGTCATCATCTCCTGTCGAAAGTGGCAACAAGAACTCTGTTCTTCGGAAGCCGATGATGTGTCGTGCAACGTTAGAACATGAAAACGATCTCTTCGACGACAGCCCGAATCATTCAGACGACGAAGCTATTCTCAGCGAATGCATAAGGGCGGCGATACCTAAGGTTTCCTTCTTTATTCCGTTTTCGACTAATTCTGATTGTATTTGGAATATTTTTTTTTTTACAAACCATTGTCTACTAATTTTAGGTTAAACTGAATATTTCAACACTTATAGGAGCGTTGCCACAAATTGCAGAGAAATCGAAGATGACAGCACCGAGAAAACCGTCGTTGTGTACGTCATATCGTCAATCGGAGTATACCGAGGATAATAAAGATCAATCGAAGAAGTCTGTATCATTTGAGGACAATTTAAGCCTCTCAGAAGAGGAGGAAGACATTATGCTAGCTCAATGTATTAAATCTGGTATGCCGAAGGTAAACAACGCAAAAATGTTTTTCCATTCTCTTTCCATTGATGAATTTTACGAGTCTTTTATTATTCGCAGGCGTTGAATGTTTCGTCGAGCTCATCTTTGCTGTCTGTAAAAAAGCAACTAGAGTATCCGAAAACGAGAAACATTGCCAGTACTTCGTCTTACTACGTGAACAAACAGTGTCTGATAAGAAATCCAACATTGCAGGCTCAACCACTCCATAAATCCGCAGAGAGTGATTTTTCTCTACATGGAGGAACTTCTTGCACTTTCCACTCTGCGAAAGTTCAAGAAAATAGAAGACACATTGTTAAGAACGGTGGAATCAGTACATACGAAAGAACGAATCCTGTGCCATCGTACACTAGAAAACTTCTCCACTCAGAACACGAACATAACAGTATGAGCGAAAACATTGTAAGCACGTCGCGTTCTGAAATTCCCAGTTGTAGATCTCCGGTTCTAAATGTTGAAAACGACGACGACGAACCGTGTAGGAGTGTAACGAAGTCAAATGTAGTGCCTTCGAGGCATAGTTCAATAAGCTCCCTTAGCGAAGAAGGTTCGCTCGGTTCCATCGAGGAATGGGCACTACTAGAGTTGTGCATTAGTTCTGGGATGCCCAGGAACAAGTATCGTTTGAAAGGGATGAAGAACACAGAGGGAAATGTCAACGAGGAGTGTGACACCATAGCCGAGGATAATTATTCGATATGTAGTTATAACTCGTACGTTTGTAAGACCTAAACGAAACGCAAGGACTGAAAAGTCGCGCCTATAGAAAGATTAAATACTTTTTTACGATAATCGAGAAAAGAATGGCAATCAAGTGTGCGTACGTTTGACGAAGCATGTGCAGGAGATCATTATAGTTCTGTGATTGATAAAAACTTGCAATAGAAGATATTCCAAAACCACGCGTTAATTAGGTAGAAAGTAACAGGATGTGATGAAAAGTATACGCTTCGTTCGAGGAAAATACATTTCATTTCACTTTCTTATTTGACAATGAATCGACGAAGATTTAGGAAGATGCGAGTTTTAAGCAATTACTGATATGCGTTAGGTGTTTTTATGGGGATTTGGGAATTTATTTATTGGTTTAAAACTTGTACGAGATGAGACTTATGTTTATTAAAAGATATATCTTTTCTTTATTACCCTTCGTTATCTGTTACTTCAATCAAATCATAGTTTTGAAACATACATCGAGGAGGTGTAATTATTTTTAAAAGAAGATACCTCTCTTTTCTTCCAGTTCCTGAGAAATCAATTTTTTTACATCGAATATCCTCGAGGGATAAATAATTGGAAATTATATTATGATTTTTCAGAGAATACTATTGTATTTCTGAAATACGTGATTCATAGATCGTGCAATGAATTTACCGAAGAATCATCGATAGATCATTTTTTTTTTTAAAGCTCTTAGATAGAAACCAAGGCAAGATTTTTATAGATAGAAAAAAAAAAATTGTATTGTTTGATCCAGCTTAGCTGCTTTTTTTTTTTAATTATAAAGTTAACATTTAAGACAAATACATATATTTGCGATTAATAGTTCCAATCGTTATATTATTACAGCTTAATAAAATTTGGGACATTGTAAAAGTATTTGTTTTATACAATTTCACTCTTTTAAATTGAAAAATTTGTTGTTTTCATAATATTCCCTTCCATTTCCTCACTTTTTCAAAATACTCAGCGGAAGATTTACCGTAAACTCGCAAATCTATGGCATGGAGAATATCGAGTACTGTAGTTTCTTACGGAATACAAATTTACAGTTAGCAATTTTTGTATCGAAGCATTAATTTCCTGGAAAAATAACGTGCATCGGAGGTTCACCGTTTGCAAAGAAAAGAAGGAAAAAAAGAATGCATTGCAGTCACTGTGTGGTTCTGGTAAAGTAATTCCTGTATGTTTCAAAATTTTAACAGGACCCTCTTGTTTGTAATTTTTACAAGCTACAATTAACTGGTATCATAAATAATTCTTGTGTGACATTAATGCGTTTGGATTTTAATGAAATTCTACAAACTGCAAATTATCTGATTATCCTACTTGACAAAGAATTGCAACATTGTGTAAAAAGAAGTGTACAACTTGAAGCTTGCAATTTGCCAATTTGTATCATCAATTATTTCATGTAAGAGGGTATAGACATCTTTTTCAATATTACCTCTGTAGTTACTGCATTTTAAATTTGATATAGTTATTTCTTGCTGTTTAATTTCTTCTGCTTTTACAGAGTTATTAATATGTATTTATTTATTTAAATTTTGTTCTCCTTAGTAAGTTAATTGTCATCTTGAAAAGTTTCATTTTTTTTTTTTTTTTTTTTTTTTTTAGATATTATATTCAATCATCAAAATGTTACTGACCAGTTGAAAGAACAATTCAAGGTCTGAGCATATCAATAGTGTAACTATGTAAGAGTTTGTCGACGATTACGACGAGAACAAAGTTGTTGGAGCATAAAAAGTGCCGCCTTTTAACTGTTGCCTTGTTGCCCTTCGATGAATCGTAATGACCACCTGGCCAACGTCCTAGCCTATTTCCTGCACGTATAAATCCTCATGTAGCCATAATCGAACGTTCAATGTGTATCGCGAACCGATTTGGAGAACATACCTCCAGTGGTGTGCTCGTGGTTCCGAGGTAAAGTTCATTTTGTTCAGTGAACAAAGGATCTGGATTAGGAGGGTAGCTGAAGCTTTGCCAGGATTGCCATTTGCAAGTTGTAAAAGTGCAAAAGAAACGTTGTGAACATCTGGGAAGAAAGTATTGTAATTATTCTAATTAATTTCTAGATTTTGAAAAGTGATCCCCCCCCCCAGAACGTATACGTTGGTACAATATATTGCAAATTATTGCAGATTATTATTGATTAACAAGCCTCATATTGATTTCAAATTGATTCAGACAAAATGTACGTTCAAAGGAAATTTACCAAATCTTTTGTTTCCTAAGCATATGCAAAACTAGAGGAACTATTAGAGAATTTTAAGTAAGAATAGATATTTTAACATTATCATTATTAGACAGTGCAACATGAAACAATAAAGTTGATACATTAAAGTAAAAACAAGAAAGAAGCAAATGGGCCCCAAACAAAAAATTAGCTTAGAAATTATCTATTAAGCAATAACACTTTAAGCACTTTAGTCTTCATTCCATTGAATAAATATTATATTACTTTGAACATTGAATTAAACAGAAAAATGCTGCATCACGTTATAATTTTATAGCAAAATTACTATTCAAAAAAATAACTTCTACTGTAACTTATGCTGGAACAAAACGTCGCAGCCTGAACGAGTCCTTGAATTTCAAGCCTTATCGTTCTGCAAGTTACGACCGGCTATTAAACTCAGTTTGACTGTTCCTTTGAATGCAGATGCACCCGCGTGCATTCTACATGTCTGTACTTGTCATCCTTGTGGCTGATGGCGCTTGTTGCGACGACAATAGGTGGTACACAGGCCTACGTACTGTGCTTAAGAATTGCCCACTGGAGTCCTGGAACAGCTCGTGGCAAGATGAATTTTTAGAGAAGTTTCGCAAATGCATGCAGGAGCATGCGCTGGCTGCTTTGGATTCCCTTCTAGCCGACGATATTATACCAGTCTTCGAGGGATTGGATTTAGTAAGATTCCAGGAAGACAGGAACTCTACGGATAATTACAGAGAGAGGTAATAAATGATACAGTGACGTTCATGACGTGGCTGCTTCAAGTATTTTGGTAAATTTGATAAAATATAAATAATAAATTTAGAATAATAATAAATAGTAAATTCAGTAAACATCAGTAAAAATTACCAGTTCTTCGTTGGAAATTTTATAAATTTTTTTTTTCTTTTTTTTTTGTGTATCAATAATTTTTCCACGAGTGAAACGTTTCAGGATTTGCACAGAAGGTATGCAAACGTGAGGAGAGAATCGAGAGAAGACAATAATAAATTTTCCTATAAATTTCCACCTTTAAGCCACTTATGCAGGGGCTTGTTTTGCCTATTAAAAATTACAACGAGCACTCCGGATATATTTCGCAAAGTTTTACATATTTCATGTATTTTGCACATTTTTTTGCATTTTTCAGTTCTTGCATAAATGCATAAGAATTCAGTTTAAACCTAGTAAATTAAGTTTCATCGTTTTTGGAGAGAAAAAAAAAAAAAAAAAAATTAGGAAAAATCCACGAGAGAAGCAGAGAGAAGTTGCAGGTTTTTAGGATAATTTCAAATAATTGAGAATCTCGAGAAAAATACAACTGACATCCAGCGTAAAAGTTTGGCGGAAGTTGGACAGATTTTGAAAAGTTTTAGGGCGTGAAAGTTATCGCGAAGTCCTGCATTCCACTTTAAAACTTTGCAGTTTGCGAAAGCGCAAATGAAAGTTGACTTCCTATTGATCATTCTATGAAATATCACTCTTTTCTCTCCAAATATCGTTCCGATTATTAATTCACTTTACTTCTAATTAATTTAAACGTCCTCTTTGCAGGGAGGGAGGATGATGGAAAATATCCTCTTTATCAAAATTAGTAATTTTTACATTTCCGTATTGATGTTATTATTCATGTTCTGGAGAACTTCTTTTTTTATAAAGAAATAATTTTTTTTTCATGTTAATAATGATTAAAGAATTTCTTTTCATTATCGAATTCTTAGTATCACTGAAAACCCTGATTCTTGTCTAATTTCCTTTATCCAACAGCTCAATCAATATTAGGACAAGCTATCTAAAAGATTATAGCTTTCGAATCCCATGGGATTTCTGGAAATCTCACCGCAAATTTGATCAACTGAAAGAAATCAAGCTGGAGAATTATGATTATGCAAAGAATAAGTTAACTCCTATTTCAAGTTATTTCAAAGTTACATAAATATTGATTTCAATTTTTATATAACCTTTTGAAATTCTCGTACTCCTTCTTTATAATAAGTTTCACTCATTAATTAGATCTCGAATGAAGAGATAATATATAATATCTTCAAATACTAATCAAGAGTATTTCTTTCACAAATTTCTTTTCATTTATACAATATACAATATCTTCAAGTATTAGTCAAGAGTATTTGTCTTCTTTCACAAACTTCTTTTCACTTATACAATATACAATATCTTCAAATACTAATCAAGAGTATTTGTTTTCTTTTACAAATTTCTTTTCACTTTTGCATTGATTTATACAAAGTTATATTTTGAATTGTTATTGAAAATTGCTATTAGTTAACTCACAATAGCTTATGAACTTAGGTTGTACGAAACGGTTTGTTATTCTGTCTTGTCCTATTTCTTGCGGACAGGGGAAATATCGGACCTTTAATGGATTTAAAGGAATTTATATAACCTTTTGAAATTCTCGTACTCCTCCTTTATAATAAGTTTCACTCATTAATTAGATCTCGAATGAGGAGATAATATATAATATCTTCAAATACTAGTCAAGAGTATTTCTTTCACAAATTTCTTTTCACTTATACAATATACAATATCTTCAAGTATTAGTCAAGAATATTTGTCTTCTTTTACAAATTTCTTTTCACTTATACAACATACAATATCTTCAAATACTAGTCAAGAGTATTTGTCTTCTTTCACAAATTTCTTTTCACTTACACAATATACAATATCTTCAAGTACTAATCAAGAGTATTTGTTTTCTTTTACAAATTTCTTTTCATTTTTACACTGATTTATACAAAGTTATATTTTGAATTGTTATTGAAAATTGCTATTAGTTAAGTTAACTCACAATAGCTTATGAACTTAGGTTGTACGAAACGGTTTGTTATTCTGTCTTGTCCTATTTCTTGCGGACAGGGGAAATATCGGACCTTTAATGGAGCGCCGCAGCATTTTCTGCGGACGAATTTCAAGTCACGCAATCTCACGTGACAGGCAACCCACGTTTAAAGCATTTTTTGCAATTCACGTCGAGATTAACTTGTATTGAAACTGATTGCATTCATTTTATGAAGTCCTTTCAGCCGAGTTGCCATCTCTATGGCAAATTAAATTTTCATATTCAAGTTATAACCGCACGAAATTTATATATTTCAAGTATCAGTGAATCTGTAATAATAGTTTAGTTAGAATTATTTGATCTATTCCAGTTGATTTCATATTTGATTTCTTATAAAATCAAGGAACGTAGAATACTTATAATCATTCTCCTGCGTTTCAGTGAAATAGGGGATGATACCAATTGGACAGCCGTTATTGTGAAGCGATTGTTACGAATTTTACGCACTCACGTGTTCAAAGTGGACGTGGACCATTTCACCAATCATATTATCTCCCTTGTTAACAACGAAGAAACCGACGTAGCTGGCTATAAGTTCGAAGGTTCGTTCATTACATAGATCTTCACTTTCTGTTCTAATATTTCAATGCTGGAACTACTTGCAATTCTAATTTTATAATTCCATACTCAAAACTTCAACTTCCTATTGTGTTTTCAACTTCTTCTCATTCTTTGCACTTTTGTTCCTTTGATTTCTGAATTTTCAAAGTTTTCATCAGCAGCATCTTTTCAAAATCATTTAATTTCTTAAAATTCGTATCACCATCTACATTATCTATATATGTATTCACGTATAAAAGTTTGTAACATAATTGACCATTTCACTTCTCGTAGATACGTATTTGTTTGATATATTGAGGGACATTATTAGCACTTGCTATCTTTAAGCATCTCATTAATGGCGCTCGTTTCGTTATCAGGACGCAGACGTCACCGTCGCAGACATAACCACATGGTGCCGTTGATGATGATGGGCTTCCTGCTGATGGGTTCGATCTTGATACCAATGGGTTTTCAGTTCCTCGCGGTCCTCGGTGGCAAGGCTTTGCTCCTGGCCAAAATGGCTTTGATTCTGTCCAGCATCCAGGGCCTTAAGAAAATAGCAACGAACGGCGTTAATTATGGACTGTATCACGCTCATCCTGTGGCAGAAGGCTGGCACGACAGAAGCCATATAGAGCCTTCTCATTTAGATTTACCTTTTCCACCGCCGCTTCGTCCCTAATCGTTTCAACGATGACGGCCATTGCTTGGACTTTTCGCTAATTTCTTCTACCGAGTTCCATCTACTTTCGTAGGGCAATCTCATTGTATGCGTAAAGAACAAATGAAACTTCATAAATCTTGCGTCTCATTACAAAATTCATTCAAACAACAAAATTCGAAATGTATAATGGCGGAATTTCACGAGGTACGGAATTCATTAAATATTATTGTATTAGTTTTAATATAGATAGAACCTATATATTTATAAATTTATAGTATAATTAATTATACATAGTATAATGGTACAATTAAGGATAAAATAAAGTACTATATTGATGTCTGATATCTCATTCGATTAATTAGCAAAATTCCTCTTGATAATTTGCAGCGATTAATAATCTTATCAATATGTCTTTATACAAATATGTAAATGTCTATCAGTACTGACAGTTAATTTTCTCTAATTATGAACAGATAAAATTTAACAAGTTCTGTGTGTCATTGTGAAAATTTATTGCTTGCAGAATATCAATTAATCTAATACTGCTTGGAGAAGTTGAATTTTGTCAATGCAGTATCTCCTCATGCATGTCAGGCGAACGCCAGTAGATTGTTCCTAGCCATAGTCAGACAGCTGTCACATTATATCATGGTTCAAGTGGTAAAAGTAGGTCTGACCATAGTTGGTTTGAATTCCCGATCGAAAGATAGATATTAGATAACATTTTCTATCCAGATAGAAAACTCTCCAAGTTCTTACGATAATTAGAACAATTTTCTTCAGCAAATTTGTTTTTGATAAATCTGTTTTCTTCAAAAATTATCTCCGTTTCGTTTTTCCAATTCAACTGAACAACTTTAAAATGTAGAAATTTCTTTCTCCGTTTTCACAAGGATGTTTTCCTTCCAAGCAAAGGTCTTTGCTCGTCATTCTTTGATTTAAGTTAACCAAAGTCAGCTGTATTATTCACTTGAAAATGCAGAAGTCATTTTTGAACTTTTTCCTCCCAGTAGAGTAATAACAAGTTCTTGAACAAAGGAGAGCAATGTTAGTACTAACGAATATCATTTTAGAATTCTTTTCTATACATACTGATGACGTAAATTACTCACGTGTTGCTTATACTGATAGCCACAAAAAGAGGAAAACACGAGTGGAAACTTTGAAAAGAAAGAAAGAAAGACTTAATTTCCATATTTTGCCTGGAAAGATGAACAATTTTCATTCTTATCTTTCTTTTGGGTACTGAGTAAAAATAATGAAAGATGTAAAAAAAGATCAATAATTATTATATAATTACTTTTATAAAAATTATAATTAAAAATGCAATAAATGACATTGGGCATTAAATGAATAATAAAAAGTGTATGTTAAAAATTCAGAAAGAAGTTTTTAAAAGATTGCCAAATAATTATTGATTTTTATCATTGAAAATCGACAAGTAATTGATAATTAACATTTAAATGGACAGCTTGCAATCGCTCTTATCAGCATCGATGACTGTAAACAAAAAGAAAAAAGAAAAAAAAACGTTTTATACGATCAAACAATCGTGGCTCCCCAAGTCGCGCTCGTAAATCTCACGAACGTGATTTAATAAAATTCAGAAGCGTCCCAGTGAATAATTCAGTTCTCCATTGAACGCCATCGAATCTATTCTTGTAGAACGGCCGGAACACTTCGCATAATCAATACTTTCGTAAATACGTCGATCCTGTATTCTTATTCATGTTCAATTAAAATATTTATTGCTGTTTCTTATTCGTTATTTCCACGTGCACAATGGGAGATGCTTGCTTCTTGATTTTGTCAAGTACAGTTTGAAGAATGGAACAGTTGTTCGACATCAACAAGTACTTTGAACATTCAGAAATTATATAAACTACAAGATTATAAGTATAAATATAAATATAAATTATAAGTATAGCGAACTAAAAAAAAGAATGTAAAAAATTAGAACAGATTTTTTTTTTATATAAATTATATAAACTACAAGATTATAAGTATAAATATAAATATAAATTATAAGTATAGCGTGAGAACAATGGAATGCAAAATATATAGGATAGAAGGTAAAGAATGTGACAAACATAGAAAAAAAAAGAATGTAAAAAATTAGAACAGATTTTTTTTTTATATAAATTATATAAACTACAAGATTATAAGTATAAATATAAATATAAATTATAAGTATAGCGTGAGAACAATGGAATGCAAAATATATAGGATAGAAGGTAAAGAATGTGACAAACATAGAAAAAAAAAGAATGTAAAAAATTAGAACAGATTTTTTTTTTTGGGGCTTATTGTTTCAAGCTTCCTGTTTATAAGCAGCGAAGTAATAAAATAAAACTTTCAAGTAAGAAAAAGAAAGGAAAATATTCTACAGTGAAGGAGCATGAATGTGTCTCCTGAGGAAGTGCAAATATTAGGAAATCTAAAAGGAACAATAAAGTCGTAGGAAGCGACGAATGTTCAACATCTAGAGTAAACGTAATTTAGTTGGAGAGAATGTTTTTTCAGAGAACAAAGGTAAACCGCAATCGTTGGTACTTGCCAGTTTATGGCAATTACTGGTTCGGATAAACATCACGGCCAGTGGTCTTAATTGATATTGGTCCCAAGGGGGATGAAACATAAGCAGCCATATTCTACATTCGGCATATATTCATCTGTTTCGCAGTTGGCAGGATATTAAGAGATCGTTGTTCTTCTCCTGCAGGAGGCCAATATCTATTGCAGCCTATTTATCACGCTTCAACAATTTCCTTCTTCCTTTCGAGAAGTGGAGGGAGATGTTGAATTAATCCTTCCATTGCGTCCTATAGAGTATATCACAAATATACGTTGGAACAAGATGAGAGAAAGATTTCTTACAAATAATATGTACATAGGTACAGATTAAAATTATAAATAAAATGAATAAGTATGAATTACTCTGCACGTAACAGAACAAATATTCTTAGTGAAATATTGTAAAATCATAAGTTACAAATTATTGGTGTAACAGTATATTAATATGATATTAAAGTTAAAATATTTGTTGTATGTATGTATAATATATGCGCCCCTGTTTTCAGGCAAACAGACATACTGTATGACTTGACCACATATTTACACGTTTCGAGGGAATAATAAATGAAATACATTTACTGAAAGGCTTTGAAATAAAAAATGTCATTAGTAAATAAGCAGTATTGTTCAGTGAACATAAACATCAATATAAAAATTGCATTACAATATTTTAAGAAAAGTTCCTCTTTTCTATAATGAAAGGAACAAAAGATTTTAAACAAGAAAATTCTGTATACACTGCGTGAGAATAGAAAGTCAAAACTACTTGTTATTGTTTGTCCACGTTGTTCTCTGAATTCCATGGTTTGTACAAATGCGACAGTAACACGAGCATCCTTTCGTCTCAAACTACAGTCACAATATTATACTATTCCCTTGTTATCTTGCAGACACTCGTTTCAGTTGCATTCATGTTCTTCTAAAAGATAAAATCATTAATTTCACCCAGTGAGTTGGAATAACTTAATTAAGTCCGAAAGCTCCTATTTATCTCGCAGTTCGATAAATATGACACTGCGTTTTCTTACAATTTCGTTCAACATTCTGAAACAAATAAAATCTTGTTGGCAAGAAATGAAACAAATTATTTGAATGATTTCTTCGAGAGAGCGACTCATAATAAAATACAAGTTTTTCTTTTTTTCTCTTTCAGGATACTATTTCCCCGGAGGCATTATCACTGTAGGAAACTTTCTCTTTGATTTACATATTTTATAGCGAGCTTGAATTTTTCATGCTATTTTCTCTGATCAATGATATGCAGATTGTCAACATTGCAACCTCCTTAATTAGTTATCCTTAGACGTTAAACGAAATTCCATCTTTCCATTTATATAAATAGAATATTTATAAAAATAGAAATTTTCATAAGTATCAATTGTATTAGCTACTTTATATATTTATATATTTTTGATATCTTTTTATATCGGTTCTTTATATATATCAAAGTAATTACACTCGTTATCTATACATACATCTTTTCTTTTAACAGTGAGATTTTCATAAGTTTTCTTGAATAGATAAAAGCTTAATAACCAGTAATCTCGTGCTGTTTTTCGTGTATTATAACGATGGTGTACTTTATTGCGTTCACTGAACTCATCTTAACGAAGTAATGAAAGAGAAGAAGAAAGAAGTTCACAGAGCTTTTGATCATTGCTCCAATGAAACTAAAACGATCGGTAAATGAATTAATCATTGTTGAACTGTTTTTTAAATTCACGAAAATATTGTCTCATTGTCAGAATGGTCAAGTAAATATGTTAAATTATTTCTCTGTCTATCCAATCAAAATTATATTTTATTGAGAAATAAATCAACTAAATTACCGACTGGAGAGAAAAGTGAAAGGAATAACATAAAAGTCTATAATATAATAAAGTGTATGAACTTTAATCTTATATATCAAGTCATTCAAGTTTGTAAAAGTGAATGAAATTCAAACTTGCTGATCTGATCATTTTGAATATTGGTTAAAAAAGCGAAGGCTGCATTTTTCTAGCTTCTTTTTCTTTCTTCTTAGTTTTCAATCCCTTTCAGTATATTGACCGCAATAATTTTTTTTTTTTTTTTACTTTAACACCATAACAATCGATGAGTATGACATTATGTGATTTTTAATGATATTCATTCATTTTTAAATGTTTAATACTTCCATTTCCTTATTTTATGATACAGATTTGTAATTTTAAAGAATTGGAATTTAAACAGGAATTTGCCCTTGAAATTTTTTTTTTTTTTTCTTACTTTAACACCATAACAATCGATGAGTATGACATTATGTGATTTTTAATGATATTCATTCATTTTTAAATGTTTAATACTTCCATTTCCTTATTTTATGATACAGATTTGTAATTTTAAAGAATTGGAATTTAAACAGGAATTTGCCCTTGAAATTTGCCACAAATGTAATAGAATCTAACAAAAGTATGTAGTTCAAATCTAAGTAGTATAAACTATATATTTGTCCAAAGTATGATTCTGCTAAATTCCGTCGGATATTGAAAAGTATATAATTCTGTTAAATTCTGTACCAATTGACATTGTGTCGAAATGCTCTTCTTCGTATCAATCATCAATGTTTATCCATAATAATTAATTTCCTATCCTTTCTTTCGGGTCGAAGCCAAATTTATCAGCCTCCTTTGTCCTTTCCATCTTTATCCAGCGACCTCAAAAGATCCTCGACACACCGGGAGGAAAAGGTGTGCAGGCGAAACGCAAGTCGTTTTATCAGCGTTATCGTCGCAGAGCGTAACGTTGCAAGCGTTTGGGGATGCGCAGCGTGGACGAATCGCGGACTGGACTAGCGACTATAAGAGGGACGCCGCGCGTCGCGACGCCACACAATCTCCAGTTTGTCCTGACGCTAGCTCCACACAGCTTTCCCCCCCAACGTACAACAACTATACACGGATCAGTGAGACGAGAAACTATTCGAAACAGCGACGGAGTATCTTAGAGTCATCGGGTTTTCTTCATCAATAGTCGTATCAACTTCCGGTTTCTCCGTTTCCAACTGAAGGGAACATGTCTCTGAACGGGCCAGTATATCGTTTGGTGAGGCTGCTTCTCCTTGTTGGCGTTTTCAACGCCGTTTCAGCTGTAATTAAAGGGAACACTGATAATCAACACTATCAGCAACAGGTAAAGAGAGTCAATGTTTCTAGTAGAGTAATAGAGAGTTTGTTTGAGGATGTTGTGATCAGTTGAAAATGAAGTTCGAGTACTTGAGAAGTTGTGTGAGATCTGGTAGCCGATTTTGATTCTGCCTGTAATGAAAATTTTGCACTTTACATTTTATGAGAAATTTAGCTGAGATTGTGGATCTTTAGATATTTATAGGAAAATTGCAAAAATATATAAAACATTCAAATTGAAAGCGCTATACTTGGTAGGTATAATGATTCTACACTGAGATTCATCACATTCTTGAAAATATGAGTTTACATAAAAATCTTTGGTCTAATGATTGTTGTGTATTTTTATATAATTATTGTTTATATTAATTACATAATATATTATATTATATTAATTATATGATTATAAATATTACACAAAATGTTATATCACCGTGTCGAATAATATTTATATCAGATGATATATTATATTACGGATGATAAATTCATTCTCACATAAAGAGGAGCAGTTGAAATATTTAAAAAGTCTCTTCTAAATCTTTTAAAAACAAACGGCTTTAAATTTTTGTTGAAACTAGGCGAAAAATCTGTTTTTCATTTTTCGACTGTTTGAACGAGCATATATAATTGGTTTTAGTATTTTAAAATTCCTCACCCTTGGAGAAATAAAAATTTATAGATAAATCACGTTCTTCTATTTACATTCCATCAGACTTTATAATCTATTATGACACTATTTTACAAGAAAGATAAAAGTTAATAAATTTTATATTTTGTTATAAATTTTAAAAAAATTTTGTTGTGTCAAGTATAGATTCTATCAAGTTCTAAATTATATTTGTTTCGGAGTACATCTCTTGCTTTTGTCCTGAGAATTAATATTTAACTTAGTCCTGATAGTTAATTGAATGAAATTACTAAAGGGAGTTAGTATAATGATTTTAATAAAACGATTCACTCTTGATATTGAAACTATATTATACATATGAATAAAGATATTTTTTTTTGATTATTTAAATTGTTAGTATAATGTCTTGCAGCTTCATTGGATTATATGCTTTAATATAAATAATTTTTAATAACAACTTCATAATAGATGCACAGTCTTTACTGTGAATTAATTTTATTTTCTAGGTATCAAATAATAATCGATTATTTCATAATAATGACTTATGCATAAATTAGTATATAGGGTATAAATATAAAGGGTAGAGAGTTAAAATATCTCAGCACACTGTCTCTATTTTCGTTGTATTCCAGAAATAGAATAGAAAACAGACGAGTCCTATCTTATATGTAAATATAACTGTTATAAAATAGCAATTAATTCCTTTTATGGATAAATATATATAATTTTTACTCTTTTTACATTTTATTGTATAAAAGTTGTATTTCTATTCTTATGTTAGTAACTCTTTCAGTATTTTATTAAATATTTTAGTTTTTAATTATTCTTGTTCCTTTTTTGTTTTTAGTTTGCGGATTTTTATGCAAATTTATGTTTCTAAGGCAGTTAAAAAAATTGTTTTGCATACCAAACATTATAGAAACTACAGTATTTTGAATATTTTACATATCTTTTCATACTACGTTAATTCTATGTATTTTAAAATTTTTTATAAATGTGTAAAAATTACTAATTCTAATTTTCCCTTTGATGCCTAATCGTATTTCAATTGTATCTTTTAATTTGATTTTCCATCGCTGTCGTATGCTACTAGGAAGAATGCCAATAACGAAGTATTAATCGATCATTACCCGGGTCGACGATGGTCACATTTCCCTTCCTTTGTCATATGGCAATTAGTTGCACGAATAGAACAAAGTAAACGCGACATGTAAGGTCTCAATAACCCTTTCTCTCCCCTTTTGTTCAAGCTTTCGATACCGTTTTTCTCCAGTTTAATTAAACTGAAAGGTGATTCTTTCCATTTAAAAACAGTTCACGACTACTTTCTTCCATAGAAATGCTTTCTGTTCATATCCTTTTCTGAAGAAAAAAAAAAAAAATATGATTGAAAAATAAAAAAGTTGGAAATTGAAAGTTAAATATAATTTGATGTACAGTTTGAAATATAGTTTGAATTTTACTATCTAAAATACAGTTTGAATTTTATTATCTAAAATAATTATTCTTCAGTGACATAAAAAAACAGATTAAACAGACTTGCAAGTGTTCGAAATAATTCTAATTTTGTTGCTATATTTATATATTTCTATTATGATAACACTGTTATATGGAATGATATAAATAATTAAACAAAATAAATAAAATATAGTTAGAAGTGAAATATAAATTGTTCAATCAGATGAATTATAAATTAAATTGTGAAATTTAATTGCGATGATTGATCAATATTAATTGATCATGAGTATCCTGATGTTTGTACATAATGCAAGTATATATAACTGTACATTATTACAGCACTGTTTGAATTTGAATATTTGTTAAATTATAGACTATATTTTATCAAATATATACTGTGCATATACTTTTTCGTAATTCATTTCTCTGACACAAGTTTAATACTTTAGTTGTCGGTAGTTCCAGTATTAAATCCCAGAGAACAATGGCTGCGTATACCTCTTCGTTAATCAGATTACCGTTCACTTATTCGTTTCACGGTACGGAACAAAGTAAAATGGCATTGCTTTCAAGATCAACGTGTAACATCAGTTCTATGGTTTTTGGAGACGCTTCAAAGACAGCATGAAGCACGAACCTTTTGTTTTGCAACGTATATCAAATAAAAAGCTGGCGAAGATATTTTAATTAATTGGAACATTTTTTTTTTTATCTCATTGTTAAGCTTTCGTCTTAATTTTTCGAAATAGTCCAAAAGAATATTCTTACTGCAAACTGAGAATGTTTGCATGGAAAACCATATCTCAATAAATATAAAAGCCTGTATCAGAAAAATGAAACTGCAAGAAAATAAGAAAAAGTTTACGATACAATAAAAAATGCGAGCTTTCATTTATATATTACGAGAAATTCCGAATTTCAAAGAACATTGCAAATCTAATAAAATCTCGGTGTATGTATCTAATAAAATCTTATGAATATATCACACTCCAAATATCTTGATCTTTCTATACTTTGCATATATTTCTGTCCCAGATTTAAGCAGAACAATTTTATTAGATCTTCCTGTGTCAATGGAAAACTTCAAGCCATCACTTAAACAAATCCCTACTATTTAAAATTCCAATTCTTTGATTACTACCAATTCTCTGATTTCTTATATTCTTTATTCTTTATTAGTTATAATTGCTGTGAAAATACCAATGTTTCCACAAACAGCCGCAGTCTAATAATCAATTTTCCATTAACGTCAATCTTAACCCGGGAAATTCTCCGCGCGCGGGTCTCGCCTAAATGAAGATTTTCAGTGCGGGTGTGTTCGCTGATCCCTCGCGCGTGTCGGTGGCTTATCAGAGGCAACTCCAGCGACCTGCAAAGTGCAATTGCTTGTTGTCAGTGTAAACGCAATTTAACTTGCAAAAATCGAGTGGCAACGTACTTACATGTTCCAGCCGCGCCATGCGATGTAACAAGGTTATAAAGGTTATTGAATATTC